GTATACCGATCGTCATATCTCGAATAGCTGAGTCGATTTAGACATGTTTGTCTGTCCGTCTGTCCATTATAATTTGTAAACACGGTCTGGTCGCTTAATAGGCCGCAATTATGGACCAAACATCTGGAATTTTTACATGGAGTAGGGGATTGGGCCAAAGAATAAGCATGCCTGTTTTGATAAAGATCGGTCAATAATTAGCGGGTCAAATGGACCCTGACTTTTCTATAGCGAATATATTCACTCCTGAAGGACATAGATCCTAGAATTTTATAGTATATCCGAGAGGAGTGGTTGACCTTTAAATTGATACCAATTATATTGTCGTATGTTCTCGGATGTGGGAGTTACACATAAATATTTATTGGTCCTTACGTATTCATATATTATTTAGTATCCTATTAACACACTAGTAGACGGAAATAAGGCGCTGATCGCTTGGAAATTTTCAAGGACAACGCCTATAATTTTCGGTGATGATCAGATAAACATTTTGGAATGAAGTGGACCAAAAACTTAATTTGTTATGTTTTTCCGAATCGATTTATAGGCCACAATTATAAGCTGAGCATCACAACACAACCCACGGTGAAGGGAGTCCGGACAAGTAATTAGAAGGGCTGTATTGAATATTAGTAATATTTGTTGACCTCTAGTCGGTTAAGAGGGTGCAAATATGGTGAAATATTGGCCAAGCTCAGAATAGAGAACAACAGAAAGTTATATTTTCGTGGAAATTGTGTAGGGTATCATAGGTCATGTTGTGAGAGTGGATGAGAATTTCCCCACTCAAAAGGCATATACAAGCAAGTCAAGTGATGGTTCACCAAAGGGAAGGCCACGAATCCGATTTAAAGATCAAGTAGAAGACAGCATCTCGGAAAATGGTCTTTCAAAATGGATGAGATGCTCACAAGACTGACGCGGTTGTAAAACTTTTATAAGCTCGACTTATGGATCAACAAGCCATCTAAGTATGTAAGTAAGTCAACTTGCGGAACATATCAGCTCACTATTTAAAAGGGTGAAAGTATCCACAATTGAGCATCTGAAAATTAAAAAAAATCTTCCCATCATCAAATTCATCGTTGTAAAGGAATCTTTACGGTCCGGCTTAAATCAATATATTTTCTGAAACCAATTAAAGATTCATCCTGGTCAATGCCTACCCAAGAAATGTTAACAATCTTTTGACTAATCAGTTTAGAGAAATTTCAAGCAACAAAAAATTAAAGCTCTCCCAACCAATGCAAAATACACATCTGGCTAAAATTCGTTACCAATAAACTTAAAATACATTATTAATAGGATCTGCACCACATGGTTGTGCTGACAATCGTTTCAGGTAGAAAAAAACGACACTTCAGGTAGAAATGTTTGCAAGCACTCAGCAGCTCATTGTTAGTCATGTCGTGTTCATGTCACGCTGTAAAATCGGCAAATATGTTCAAACAAAACAGAATAAAATGAGATATTTAAAATGCAACATGTATATCACGACCGCTCCTGTTTTATTACAAAATAAAAATTAAAAATTTATTTTATAGAATTTCATTGGCTCAGAATTATTGCACAGTGCTTGCATTCCGCTAAATTGTATGCACGGTGTTGTCAACGTTACAAAGTGATAATTAAAGGCAAAGAGAAACAATGTTTTTTTTACATTTTCTCATATCTCGAACAAAAAATCTAATGGCCAGGTTCCACATATGTCATGCCATGGTGTCCAGATATTGACTTTGAAAAGTTGTTGCTGATACACGTAACACCAAATAGTCGCAATTTTGTTAAAGTTCAAACAATTAAAACTGTCAAGTGTCACGGTGTTGAATTGTGACAAAATAATGATTTGATGGAATATCAAAGATAGAATAAGTGGAACAATACACTGTTTAATTAACTTAAATTATCTCTTTGTGTTAAAGAAATTCACTTAGCCAGCTGATGCCAAGTGAATTTTGTTAACTGCAGGTCTAATTCGTGGTATGTCAATAGCATGAGGGTTAAGTTATAAATTATACATATTTTTGAAAAGTAAAGAAGCGAATGGCTTCTGCACCTTCGGTTGGTCGCTCTCCGCTCGTATTAATCGACCGTTGAATGGTTCAAAATGGGGTTCCTCGCTTATTTTCCAGCGCACAAAGGCCACCAAAATCTCCGGATACAAAACCGTTGGACTATTGTGTCTGGAGTATTTTGGGAAGCAAGGTTGGCACTAAAAAATACCAAAGTGTCGATCACCTCAAGCAAGCGCTTCGCCGGGAGTGGGCCAATATACCGCAGAGAATGTTGGCAGCGGTTTCATTGGCCATTTGAAGGCCAAAATTCGTGCCAAATGTGACCAATTCGAACAAATCTAAACTTATTCTAAAATTTGATGCTATTTTTTGCCTTAATTAAAAAAAAAAAAGTAAAAAATTATGGCGTTTGACTTTGTTGCAGTTTTTTTTATTTCACCCATATCCGATAATTGCACTAAGTCTATATTTAGTAAAAATATTATGGTCTGGATCATAACAACTATTTTAATTACTCCTATTAAAAATATTTCTGTTGCGTGGCTTAGGGTATGATAGATACCAAGCAACGGCTCTGATTGGTATTAACTTGCAAAGCGCCGGCTTATCTTGATCTCTCTTTCATCACAATTGTGGACACTTTCACCCGTTGAAATAGACCCATTAGAATTCCCGAGAACACTCGGGAAACCCCACTCCCCGTGCACATTAGGATTGCTGCCTTTCGACTTATTTCCTAAAAAAAGTTATGCTCTTCAGTGTGGTAATGTCAATACTAAATAATATAAGAATATGTAGATCTCTGTAAAAATATACTTACAACTCTCGGAGCTAGTTTTAATTAAAAAAACCCGTTCCATGTTGGGCGCCATTTTGAATATACATTTTTGTTGTACGTTAAAAAAATTAATACTCCAAGTACTTAATGCTGCATATTTATATTTGTTATTTTATAAGTAACATGTAATTACAAGTGTTCTACGTTGGGCGCCACTTTTATAAATATTCAGTAAGTGGTGAATGCGGTAATTATATGTACATGTGTATGCAGAAATCTCCTTAAACATTTAATCATTTTAATGGAGGTGACTGTGGTGATGTTTCTGGTATGTTTGGATATTTTTTTAATTCACGATTTGTGCTTGGAATCATTGTTCTGCTTAAGGGAACACCCCCACAAACTAAGTTAAAAATAGAGAAGATATTCACAGATTGGATTTATCCTAGTTCATACGGAACCGATTGTATTATTAGTTTTTCAGTTTTCGTGCCCGCCATTCGTAAAAACACTGTTTCGAGAAAAATGCGTTTAAAGTTTAAGAAGCACTTCAACCGGCGCTTGATGCTGACACAATAAATCGCTATATATTAAAGAATTGTTCAGATTTTCATTTGAAACTTTATAGGAACATTTTATGTGTAGGTTCGAATCAAATAAAAAACAAAACAATTTTTTTTTTAATTGGGAATGGGTTGGTTATATCCCTCGATTGTCGATATTTTGCTTTAAAATTTGAGAAGATTCGTCGGAGATCCCATAAGGAAAATATCATGTGGATTTTACCATGACCGTTTGCCTGTCTGTCCGTCCGAGCGTCTGTTGAAATCACGATAGAAGTTAGAAATCAATATTTTATCGGTCCGCTTTATAGTGTCGGGATTTTTATCAGATGTTCCATTCTAATTAATTGCAATTTAGTATTTTGAATTATCATTGGCTAGTAATTCTCCCTGCCAAAAAATGATCAATATTGACACATGTTTCGGGTCAACTCCCCAATATTCGGTATTTCAAATATTTTGGATACGTTTTTCCGCACTCATACAACCAAAAATTATCAATATTGGCTCATGTTTCTGGGTGGGCACCCTAGTACGTACCCCCAAATTTGGTGTTTTTAAATTCACATTAATTTTATATTTTGGATTCGCATTGGATGTCAAATCATCCTATCAAAAACTTTCAATATTGGTCCCCATTTTGGTATAGCCTTTATATAACAGTAGGATTACATACATCTTTTTTTAACAGTCACGCGTCCTAGCTCCACCTGAGTGTCTGAGTATATGCTATAACGTTTTCTCCTCAAAACCATAATCGATTTTAGGTATTTTGTATATCCACCTATATGGGGGAGGGTATAAAAAAGATTGACCCAGCCGAACTTAATGACTTATTTTCTAATTGTGTTGGGCCGAACATAGTCATTTTTTTACTTCTTATTAACTGTCGTTGGTGATTCCTTGAGAATACTTAACGGCCTTCTTTTTACGCACTATCTGCTTTCGCTGCAATTAATAATTTTTGTATGGATAAAGTTACTCATTTCATAATGTTTCAAATCCATTAATCACGTTTACTGCAATTTTAAAATATGAAAATAAAAACACCAATTTTCCAGTTTACTTTCAACCATGAATTGGCAAATAACACCTCTACTGCAATGGCACATTCGATTATTTCAAATATTGGGGTTTTGTGTTTTACCAATAAAAAATAATTCCCCAAGTCGCCTTTCAAACGCACCATGGCTTCGCCTTTGGTCTTTTCTACTTCTGGTGATTTTTAATAGTGTTGCCTTTACGGCGCTTTTCGGTCGCGATCCATTTCTACATCAAGAAGATATGTTTGGATATTTTATTGATATTTTAAAAATTGCCTGTGCCAATTTGGCCATAACATGTTCGTATTTGGAGGATTTCTTTCAACGTATACACTTTCGGAATTTTTGGAGAGCCTATTTGAAACTGCAACAATTTCACAGGGTAAATGATAAATCGCAAGACGATGATGATGATGATGATAACAAACTTCGGAAAGAAATTTTGAAAAATCGTCGATTCCTGATTATATTTTATGCCAGCACTATTTTGGAAATAATTGGCACCATAATATTTTGTCGATTTCAAACATTTAACACGCATTTAATATTATTTTGGAGTGTTTTCATACCGTTTTCAATTACCATTCATTTGCGAAATATGCAATTTATATTTCACATCGAATTGATACGTCAAGAACTGCAGCGTATCCAGGATGATTTGAGTCTTTTGGTTGACTATTCACGTTATCAAGCCTATGGTGTGGGTTTTCGAAGCTTTGAAAAGTTTCTACGCTGCAAAATTGCCCAAAAACAACAACATTTTCAGTTGATTTATGAAATGTATTCGAATTTTCAAAATTCATTTGGTTTTTCAATTGTTGCTGTCCTACTAATGGTCTATGTTCGGGTATTGATTGATTCATATTTTAGTTATTACAATATCTATTTGCAACGTTATATTCTGGGTAAGCTAATGAAGTGGTTGTATTATGTGGTCGTATTTATGTTGCTTTTCAAATTTCAGAGACAATTATGTTAGCACCATCTGTCATACAAATTCCAATATTTCTTATTATTTCGAAAAGTTGCATGGATGTGGTAAGGGTTTGGTTTTGAATAGTGAATTTTGAAATTAAATTTCTTCAATGTATTATTTTTTAGGTTAAATTCATAACTTTGAATTTGCATTCGATTATCAGTCAGTTTAATGAACAAAATTCCAATATAAGTATACAGGTAAGATTATTTGTATATATAGACGTAATTAATTGTTTTCTAAAGAAAATGGAAACTCTTGGCGAGTACATTAATATATTTTATAGAAATATTTTCACCTTTCAAATGGTATGCATATGAATTAGTTGTATTATCTGAAAATCCGACTCAAACATTTTGGGATTCGGATCTGTTTCCGCCAATAAATATTCTTTGCGTTTTTGGCATAATGAGATTTATTTACGTTAAATACTCCAGACGAGTCTACAATTTATACGAAATTTACGGAAAAAGCATTTTATTTTAATACTAACACATGCCCGCTACTTCGTTAGCGAATGTGAGAATTATTTAAACATGTCTTAATATTCGCCCATTTGACATGCTTCGAGAGTTTTTGAATTCCCATACTTTTTAGATTCTCAATATGTTACGAACTGTGTTCACTATCTATCAACAAAAACATATGTTTTATTGATGTATTTTCTATTTGTATACCCTACACAACTATGTTGCAAAGACATAAAAGTATAAAGATAGGACAATTGATACGTAAACAATTTTCAACAGATGGCTTTTCCTCTGTTGTTACGATATCATAACAACAGAGCAAACAATATTAAACGTTTTAAACGTTATAGTGCAAGCTTATAAAACAAAAACATATTTTTTGAGTACAGATCTCTAATTTTATTTACATTTTATACACACATTATCGCGTATTTGCGTTTTTATTGTTAACATGCCTCTGTTATACCTGACTTCCCCTGGATATTTTTTCATAAACTATTTTGTCAAAATGCATTTTGTCGAGTCTTTACGGTTTCTATGTCTTTGTATGTTGTCAGGGTGTTATAGCTTTGTGCAGCCCCACGATTTTGTAACGCCGCCAATTATTGGTCCTAGACCCATCTTTAAGTATACCGATCATCATATCTCGACTAGCTGAATCGATCTAGACATGTGTGTCCGTCCGTCTGACCATTATAATTTGTAAACACGATACAAGCTGACCAATCTTGACGAAATTTTGCATGTATGTGGAGTTCTTGCCAATGAAGACCCCTATTGTTTTTGGAAAAAATTGGTTAATATTTAAGGGGATGAAATGGACCAAAAACTTTATTTTTGGCATGGAGCCAAAGAACATTACAACACAACTTACGGTAAAGGGAGAATGGACAAGTAGTTAGAAGGACTGTACTGTCTATTAGTAATATTCAGAAAATATGTCAGTGTAAAGAAGAGGTGCTGTTGTCCTCTTATCGGGAAAGAGGGTGCAGCTATCTCGAAATATTGCCCAGACTCAGAATAAAACTTCGCAGAAAGTCTTTTTATCTTTATCTTTTTTCGGATTTTTATTCCGAGCCTGGGTAATATTTTGCCCGATTATATTAGAGGTCAACAACACCTTCTAATTACTTGTCCATATTCCCTTCACCGTAGTGAAGTTCGGCTTATAATCGTAGCCTATAGATCGAATCGAGAAAAACACAAAAAATAAGTTTTCGGTCCACTTCATCCTAAAATTATTATCTGATCATCACCGAAAATTATAGGTGTTGTCCTTGACCACAACTGGAATAGCATGGACAATTTCAAAGTAGTCAGCGGTATATTTCCGCCCTCTAGTGTGGTAATGGGTTACTAAATAATATCTCTGTACGTAAGCACCTGTAAAAATTTACGTGTAACTTACACATCTTACTACATACGACAATATAATTGGTATAAATTTACAGGCCAACCACTCCTTTTGGATACACAAGCAACTTCTCGGGTCTATGTCTTTCAGGAGTAGATCTATACGCCCCAGAATGCAAATTTTGTTATTTTTCAGACAATAGTCAGGGTCTATTTGATCCGCTAAATATTGACCGATCTTTATCAAAACATGCATGCTTATTCTCTGGCCCGATCCCCTCCTCCGTGCAAAAATTTGGGCCATAATTGCGGCCTCTGGAGCGACCAGAAAAACCGACAAAAATAAAGTTTTTGGTCCATTTCATCCCCTAAATATTAACCGATCTTTTCCAAAAACAATAGGGGTACATGCCAAATTTCGTGAAGATTGGTCCATGAATGTGGCCTGTGGCCAGACGGACGGACACACATGTCCAGATCGACTCAGCTATTCGAGATATGACGATCGGTATACTTAAAGGTGGTTCTATATTTCGCGGCGTTACAAACTTTTGGGGCTGCACAAAGCTATAATAACCTGACAACATAGTTGTGTAGGGTATAAAAAATGCCACCTGTCTTCATAATTGCCCTGGTATCTACTAGAAGAAGGCTAATGATATTGAAAGGTGTAAAACGACGTTGTCTCACGGAATCTGTGTTAGTATTTCGATGTTTGCAAAGCAATGCCCTGCATTATAATCCTGAAAAGTTTGTGGAAATCTATTGTTTTAAAATAATCTGTCATATAGGTGGCATCAAATTTAGTACCCATAAGTACAAACTGCATCCATACCCCCAATACTGCACTCCAATCTTATTCCATTGTATCTAATTGTAATCTTATTTCCAAATGTCAGTGCTGCAGCTCTACCAGTTCACTTGAATCCAAATTGTACCAAATTTAGTACCATTCAGTACTCATTTATATAAATTTCCAAAACTTCCTACGTACCCAAATTCTATTAACCAAAATTAAAATTGTACAAAATTTAGTACCTTTCGTATATATGAGTATACGCTTACAAAACCTCATCCTTATATCGACCATACTTCTCAACCTTCAATCGCATTTTACATTTAAAGTTTTTACATCTATCCGTTCACATACTACGAACTTTCAGTTCGAATTTCCAAAAACCTTTTGGTACATATATCCTACACTCCATCAATGACCCTCAGCACACATTTTACCATATTTAGTACTTTCCGTGCCGTTCTAGTACGAATTTGCAAAAACCCAGCCTTATCTGATACCTTTGGGCCAAGAGTCAGTCAATCAGTAAGCTAGTCAATCAGCTGCTTAAACATAAATTCACTTTGTGTAATGAAAAGAATATGAAATAAATCGGTTTCGGTATACCCTTGCGCCGTAAAATTCAAACATATATTATGTGATGCCGCACAGACATTACCAAATTGTGTAATTTTTCCGACTACTTTTTTCTTGGCTCAAAATCATCGGGCCTTCTGGTCTAAAATTAACCGACCATTGTTAAATACAATAGGGGTCTTCTTTGGCCACAACCCGTTCTACATTCAAAATTTCGTGACTATTGGTCTAGATCTACTCAGCTAGTCGAGATATGACGATCGGTATACATGAACAAGGTAAAGGGCCATTGGAAGTGCAAACAGGACGAGAACTGCAAATTGGACTGATAGACTATCAACAAGCTCTAAAATGCTTGACTTTCTGTTCGGAAAACACTCCTAAAACCTTTAAAATACCGAAAATTGAGCGATAACTTTACAAGGGAGCTATATCAAAACGTAGGCCGATATACCTGAAATTTATTGTCCTGCTGATATGCCCAAAGATTTCTACAGGATATCGACAAGAAAATAACTTGAAAAATTCTGTTAATTTTCACATACAATGCTTTGTTCCAGAAAAATGTCTTTAATATTAAACCATTTCAACAAATGTTGGAATTTTTCCAAACAATTAATCAACATTACAATCGATTGCAATCATTTGTTACTATGTTGTAATAATTAATCGTTTCGAAGAACACCCCATTGATCCGCCAAACATTACAATTTAGTTCGTTCTAAACAATGGAGGAGAAAATATCACCACTATTAAAATGTCACATTTACATATTTCGTCTGTTTGGTTTTTGTACCGTGACATTCGAACGCAATCCCATAGAAGAATATAACAAAAGACAACAATTGCTACGCCTATGGTCTTTATTTTTACTCCTAACATTCAATATCATTACGTTTAACGTCATTTTTGGCAATAATTCATTTCTCTTCGCCGGCGATCAATTTGGATTTTTCAATGATGTTTTGATATTTACCTTCAGTGATGTGGCTCTAACAAGTTCATATTTAGAGGCGATATTTAGACGACAATCACATTATGAGTTTTGGAAAATATATAGCAGGCTACAAGATCCGCCACCCGCAAATAATTCCCTGAAAATGTTATGGCTCAACGAATGGCGTAAAAATCAACGTTTTATTTTAATGTTCTACATTTTTTTGTTTAGTGAAATTGTTATTATTTCGATATTCTTTATTTTCGAAGACTTACTACCGAACGCCACTTATTTTTGGTTAACTTTCTGGCCCTTTGTGATGATTGTCCATTTGCGGAATATGCAATTTATATTCTATATTGAATTGATACGCCAAGAATTGCTGAAGCTTCGCAATGATCTGTACCTCATGGTCGAGTATTCGAGATTTCATGCCTATGGTACGGGTTTTAGAGGATTTGAGAAATTTTTGTGTTCGAAAATTGTCGAAAAACAAGTGGTTTATCAGCAGATCTATGAGATGTATGATAATTTCCGAAACTCATTTGGTATATCGATTATTACCGTCCTATTGGTGATTTATATTCGCATTGTTGTCGATTGTTATTTTGGCTTTTATAACATTTTTCGAGATCGCCTGAAATTAGGTAGGTGTGTAATTTAAAAATGTATTATTTTGGATGTCTTGGGAAACTTTCCATTTGCAGGGGTCTACTTAGTAATGCCTGCATGTCTCCAGATTCCTATGTTTTTACTAACATCAAAGTGTTGCATGGATGTGGTGAGAATTTAGATGATATCCTAATGCTTAAATTTGTCTACATATATTTTTATATACGAATTCTAGGTTAAATACATAACTTTATATTTGCATAGTATCATCAGTCAATATAATAATCATGATATGGATATCAGCCAACAGGTAAGCGAAATAAATACAATTATTGGTGGGGGGAATTTTAAAATTAATTAACTACTTCTTGCTGCATTGGGAGAGTAAAATTCATTATACGAATGAAAGCCCTAAACGAGTATATTAAGAGTCCAAGAATAGGTAAAGTTTTTCAG